TTTATTGCATGAAAAGGAAAATTAATAAATATTTATTAATAAAGAAATGGAAATTTTATAATCAAGTTTATTTTAATTTAACGTATTATCTAATAGTACTCTTTTATTATCTCTAATGAGAGAGAGAGAGAGAGAGAGAGAGAGAGAGAGAGAGAGAGAGAGAGAAATCTTACTAGTAGAACGTGTTACGTCTTACCCTACGAAGATACAAGGATATAGTAAATAAAAGTTTCAAGATATATATCACACTTTCATTGGATAAAAGAAAATTTCGCCACTTTATTCAAAAATTGTTTCCATTTTTCATTAAAATACCGTATGATCAAGTAGGAATGTTACCGGAATTTCTAGAGTCGCTTCTATAAGAAACTGTCACTCACTCATTCAGTCTTTGAGACGTTTATCACCGTATTTATATAATATATATACGCGCGCGCGCGCGTATACAGCGATATGTATTAATTTCGCAATTATGATTTTATAATTATATTAGTGTGCAATAACGCTGTCTAATTTAACCTTGTAGTTGTAGGTACATACATTGCATCTTGATTTCGTTTATCTCTATGTCATGATGTAATGCAACTCAATGGAAGTTGCATTCTAGCTATACAAAGTTGTTGTTAATGTTGTGAATAAATGTTAATATTGCTTGAATGATCACAACGGTTTGTCACACGAGCATACTCGTATTTGTGCGAAACTTTTGAAATAAGTGTTTACCACATTAAAAAGCATTTGTAATCGAATGTAGGAAAGTTACAGCATTCGCTATTGCCGCATTTTATCGAGCAGTAATCATGATGTGATTAGGGCTATATCTATGTCATCAAGCACGAATATATTCGTATATAGCAACCATGTTATCACATAAATGCATTTTAAGAACAATGTACTTTAAAGCATAATTCTGAACAATTCCTTGCCATGACGCAGTTTCTAACAAGTTTCCGAAATAACCTCTGAATAACTTTTCCAATTTAGCCACATGCAACATTCTTATAAACAACAAAGTAGGTATTACTTCCTACTACCGACAACTTTAAATAGATTATTTGTGATGATAAATTATTATGCAACGGAATGGATTAGTGCGCCAAATACAAATTGTCTTGTGCGGGAAAATGTTCGTCTATTTAAAATCGATATGTGTATATGTATATACATTAAAGTAGTCTTTATTTTTCGACTTTTAAATTTATTCTGCGGCATCCCCCAGAATATTTCCAATTCGCAAAAAAATAATCCCTGCCAAAGATCAGCTTGATCTTGATCGGATAACGGAAACACGTGCCTCCGGGTTTTTAAACATTTGAGTTCTCTTATATTATCGGCCTAAAACACTTTTCTTTTTTGAACATGTGTGTCTTGCTTTTCTGCATCGTTTGAGACCTTATACGTCTCATTTAAACAATTAGGTAAATTGTTAATAACTAAAAAATAAAAATAAATAGTTATTGCATTTATTGCTTGATCAGCTGGAAAAAATTATGTATGGGCTACAAAAGTTATAGTAGTATGTTTAGAGTCAAAAGAACAAAAATTAAAAGATTACTCTATTACTCTAATATGTAAAATAATCAGTTGTAAAACTTTAAACCCGTTTTTCTCGAAACTACAATTTTGTAGCTGGGCGCTCGCGTATCTCGGCCAATTTTTATCCGAATGACTTGAAATTTGGGTAGAATGTTTATAACAAAATTGTCTTCAGTTAAGCGTACGATTTTTTTATTGGACAATTAGTTTTTGAAAAACAATTTAAAAAATAAAAAAATTTTTTGATTAAATTTTGAATTTTTTTTTTAGAACTGCGCCATTTTGTTAAAAATTAATATTTCAAAAAATCCGTATGCTTAAGGACGTTCTCTCGTCCTTATACTAGAGAAAATCGATTTTCTTAGGATTTTCTTGAAACTGTGAATATACGTTAATTTAGGTGTGCTTTATGCGTGGTATAAATTTCAGTACCTCTTCCGGTATAAAAAATAAAAATACTGAGCCTCAAAGTTTCAAAAAAAAATTTAAAATTTAATTTTTGGGATTTTTTCCTTATAGAACTCGACGAGAGGAGCAACTTTGGTCCTTTTGGCCAACCTCGTATCTCTTACCGTTTGGCCTGGAAAACCTTTTCATTAGTAAAAGTTGAAACTTTTAGGCTCAGTATCTTGATTTTTTATACCGGAAGAGATACTGAAATTTATACCACGCATAAAGCACACCTAAATTAACGTATATTCACAGTTTCAAGAAAATCCTAAGAAAATCGATTTTCTCTAGTATAAGGACGAGAGAACGTCCTTAACTAAAACTACATTCGTATAGTTTAAAATAACACCAAAGTTTTTTATTTTAGACATCCCGTTCTGACGGAACATGAGCGCTCGCGCACCTACAATTTTTTTGCGGAGGCACACGGTACAACACGCTAAAAGCGCAAATATTAATATTTTTTATATATAACGATTTTTTTTGCAATATATTCAATATATGTACTTTAAAGAAATAAAAAACCAACTTTATTAAATTTATTATTTCTTGCAAAAAAAATTTACAAAAATATCATTCTTTTTCCGGCCGTCACAGTGGTTTCCGGCTTAAGTCTGCTCAAGTACCCTCCTAGAATAGTGGTCCGAGGGGCTCCCAACTTTGTCAGAATACAATAAATGCAATAACTATTTACTTTTATTTTTAGTTATTAATAATTCACCTAATTGTTTAAATAAGACTTATAAGAATTGTTTAAATAAGGTCTCAAATGGTGCAGAAAAGCAAGGCACACATGTTAAATAAAATAGAAAAGTTCTCTAAGCCGATTTTTGTGGAAAATACACTTCAAAAATCAATGTTAATTGTGTAAACAGTTTAATACAAGGGAATTCAAATGTATAAAGAGCCGGGGTTTCCGTTATCGATCAAGCTAAACTTTGGCAAGGATTATTTTTTTGTGAATTGAAAACATTTTGGAAGGTGCCGCAAAAAAAATTAAAAGAAATTTTTTTGTCGAGTAAATAAGGACTACCCTAATATATATATAATATATATATATATATCTATATAGAGATGTATATATATATATATATACATATATATATATAATTTATACCGGCGCAATTTGCATACATGCATGCGTAAGCATGAAAGTTAACAATAGTTAATAAGTAAAATTATGCAAGTTTAAAATCAGAAATTCTATAGTACACAAAATGTAAACTAGTATGCCAGCTTTATCAGAGATAAAGAGAATTGTGAAACTTGATTTATCGAGACTAATCTGCATATCAGCCAACTAGCCAAGTATCATACATTTGTGCTCATATTGGATCTGATTCGGATTAATTGATATCACAAAGTTTCGTAGAGCAACAAGTTCAAAATTGCGGAAATAGTTTGTGTATCGAGAGAACCGAATTTCATGGTAATAGTTAAACGATACATCTCAACGAAACTTTCAAACTTATAGCACTCCATGTTGATTGAATTAATTTCCAGAGCAAACTTAATCTAGGTTTGGCAACTAATTACAAGTTTCGCTCTCAAGGATACATAAAATACATACGGATTGCTGGGCAATTTAATTTTGAAAAATCTAGTGTCTAATAAATACATAATGTCTAATAAAATAGAGAAAAGAATAGAAAGAGAGAGAGAGAGAGAGAGAGAAAGAGGGGGGAAGAGAGAGACATGTTTATGTGTGATACAGATTATTTTTAATTGCATGTCACGTAAATAAATTTGTATGTGTAATTAAAAAAATTAATATATCGAAACGAAAAATAGACATATAATTTAACATCATACTTTTATTTTTATAGACGAACTATTGTAAAAATCAGCCAGATGAGTTATGTTTACAAGAAAGCAGGAAGAGAGGATGAAACCACATACGGCAATTGTACAATGAATTATATGTATTTGTCAATAGTGTATTTGTTATTTTCGGAAATTTGCACAATTGCGCATCAAATTAATTAATATACTGCTTATCAACTTTATCGGTTCATAGACAGGACTGCCAATAATAGAATTACAATTATAATTTATTGAAATATAGTAGCAATAGCTAACATCTCTCCTGCAGAATATCTCTAGATCTAGATCGATCAATCAAATCAACTTATAAGTACTGATGCAATTTACGCGCACGCGCGCGCGCGCGCGTTTGCTCCGCATTTAATTTTTAACCGCGATAAGAATATAAATAATGTACTTTGATATAAATGAGTGACTAATTGTATTCATTGCAATTTCTGCAAACCTAATGATATAGGAATTTAATGGTATGATGTAGACACGTGCGGTATTGGTGTGAAATAAATCAATGCATAAATCAACGATCCTTAATTTATTTCTTGATTCTGCTATAACTTTCGCAGTAGTGTTATTATTGTCAAAAAACTGAACGAGAAAGTAGTTGCTGGATAAATCTGTTATTTACAACAATATTTTAGCTCAAAATAAAATACTGCAAATCTCAGCTTTTTGGTGGACCGCCAACTAACGCAAACACCACACATTCAGTATGCTAGGATTACAGAAAGAAAGATAATACGTTTTCTAGCTGGATTATTATATCTTTATTTGATGACTGATGTTACCATGTAAGATTGATGTATTTATACACAGATTGTTTGAAACATAATCTTCATGAATTCAAGCTGTTCTTTACCTGTTAACAACTGCAATAAAGCCGATTGATTGATTTATTAATTGAGATATTTTGTTATTTATTCGCAAGAGCATGATTAGCGATTGAAAATTATATCTTAGGTCGCGGAACATGATAAATATTTATTTTGCATGATTTACAAGCGCATAATTTTTCAGACACACTTAATTCTTCTCACAGTTAGAGTTCGCTGCAAATTATGTTATGATGCAAGATAAACCAAGTTTCCAAGATAAACAAAGGATAATCTAAAGACTATTAAATCATTGCCGTAGAAAAATATTTATCTTTCAACAAGTCCATTTTTCAAAATTGCCCAAGCATATTCACAACACTATAGTCTTTCGATGTCGAAAGTTTGCTCTATACCGTTTATTTCTACTTGTCTATCTTCAATACCAAAACTCTTTTGTATTTTGGCCAAACTGTGGCCGCGAGTATCCTTTAGGAGTAGGGCGCAAAGAGCTCCAGCTATCCAGCAAGAGCTAGCAAAGAGCCACATGGTCTTTGAAACACCAAGGGCATCCAACATTTCCCCAAAGGTCATCGTTGCTATCAGAGATAGCAGCCAATTAAATGCGACTGCACATGCAATGGCAGTCTCTCTAATTTGCATGGGAAAGACATCACCTATCAACGCCCACGAAATCGGCCCAACGCCCAAGTTAAAAGTGGCAAAAAACAGGGTCGTCCAAGTCGGCGGCATCCAAAAGTAGATATCGTCGTACTCTGGGTCCTGATCCCTCAATTTGTAAAACCATCCTGCAAGTACAAAATCGAAAAGATTTTGCTTTATGCTTATCACAAACTTTTACTGTGTTAAAGATTCGTTTATTTAATTTACTTTTACACACAGTAAAAAAATTGTTTGCTATCGATAACTTTAATGACAAAAGAAAAATTTCTTATGTCAGTCAAAATTCCTTTTTTGACACTCGTTTATTTTGAACGTTTACTCTCGTAATATTGTGTACTAGTTGTAAGTTGTAAGTCTTAAAATAACCTATGATAGGTATATATATATATGTAATCTGCTCTGATGGACACCACCATCGTAATAGGAAATCGTTTACCTAACAGTATCAAAAACAGTCCCATAAGTATCGAGGATACAATTAACAGTAGTCGTCGTCCGATTATGTCTACCAGACCCATGGCTAGAAAACAAGACAATATTTGCACTCCACCAATGAGGACAGTTTGTTCGCTTCCGGTTAGATCGCCCGACCCGCCAAAGTTGAAGAGTGTCAATGCGTAGAAAATCATAATCGTAACGCCACTTAATTGTTGAGTCAGGAACGCGAAGAAGCATGTAAAGAAGGAACTTATGACGCATCGATTTTTTAGAACATTTATTGTAATCTGTAAAGAGAACATTTTGGGAGTATCTTTTACAAGTCATAACAGAGAGCAATATAATTTTTTGATATTTTAAAGTAATTTTTATTATATAAAAGAACCTTATTTTTTATCCACTTGTCTTTAGTTTGAAGATATTTATTTTAATCTCTGTAATTCGTAATTAATCGAGAACAAAGAAAAACCATATTTTACGAAGATTCACATAAAAACACATTTAATTAAGTTTCGTAAGATTCATATGTTGTAGTTACATTGTATACTTGCAAAGCTTCCATGGACTTGTAAAATATCTTACATTAGTAATAAAAGTCCAAATACATGATATTAACTCTACACTCACTAAAGATGTAAGATATAAAAATGTAATAAATTAAGTCTGGTGTGAATTAAAATAAATAGTTTACATACATATATATTAGGGTGTCATTTTGGAGCAACTTTTTTTTTATTTCACAAATAGCATATATACTTGCAGGAAGGTAAAATAAGATACTTGTTAAAATTTTAGCCCTTAATATTAATATTAAGCTCATCGCGATTTTTTATTTTTTATTTAGTAAGATAAAAAAAATTTTATAACTATCTAACAAACAGTAATACAGCATTGCGCCACATAGATTTTTTGTAGTAAATTTACCGCTTTCCAAAAAAGATCTCTATCATTTTTTTATAAATTCAATCGTTCAAAAGATATTCAAAGTTAAAATTTGATAAATTAATTTTATAATTTTATAAAATTTGTTTTTGCTTTTTATGAATGTTGTATTATATCGACTATCAAAAATTATGAAATAAGAAATACATATTTTTGTAGAAAATTTAACGATCAAAATAGGTCTCTTATGTTTTTTTCATAAATATAACCATTTAGACGATATTAAGGTTTAAAGTTCAAAGTATAAACCTTAATATCGTCTAAATAGTTATATTTATGAAAAAAACATAAAAGACCTTTTTTGTAGATCGTTAAATTTTCTACAAAAATATGTATTAATTATTTCATAATTTTTGATAGTCGATATGATACAACATTCATAAGAAGCAAAAACAAGTTTTATAAAATTTATCAAACTTTAACTTTGAATATCTTTTGAAAGGTTGAATTTATGAAAAAATGATAAGAGATCTTTTTTGTAGAGCGGTAAATTTACTACAGAAAATCTATGTGGCGCAATGCTGTATTACTGTTTGTTAGATAGTTATAAAATTTTTTCTATCTTACTAAATAAAAAATAAAAAATTGCGATGAGCGACCTGTTAATATTAATATTAAGGGCTAAAATTTTAACAGATATCTTATTTTACCTTCCTGCAAGTATATATGCTATTCGTGAAATGAAAAAAAAAGTTGCTCCAAAATGACACATCCTAATATATATATAAATGTCTTCGAAATGATTAACTTTGTGTATTAATTTTGCTCAAGTGTCAGACAGTTTCTACTACCTATTTTATCATTTACATATTTTTTGTATATATATATTTGTGGTTTGTTTTGTTGATACATTAATCTTATTAACCCGAGAACGGGCACCTGCGGCTACTTACACACTCAAGTATCGAAAAAATAAAACTCACGTCACAGTAATTTTAAAATCTTTTGTTTTTAAAATATTTTTTGGTTTTTCCTTACATTTTTCGGAAAATGTTGAATAAATCTTTATACATATTGTCCTCAAATACTGATCAATTATAAAACAATCCAAAAAGATGCAATTAATAGCAATGATTTTTATTTGGGGTGCAAAAATAAACCCAGTTTTGGGGTTGACCGTTTATGCAAAAAAATTGAAACGTCCGTTCTCAGGTTAATGGAAGGAAAAAGAGGGGGAAAGACAGACTAAAAAGGGGGAAGAGAGAGAGAGAGAGAGAGAGAGAGAGAGAGAGCGAGCTTTATAACAACTAACTTATCATTTTATGCAATTATCTTAGGTAAAATATAATTTTATATATAATATTATAGCAATCAACATTATATTCTATTCTTCTGAGCTAATATCTATGATGGAAAAACTAAGCGTTTTACCTTTCCTGATTGACTCACGAGATATTTCAATTCCTCTATTTCGACGTCTTCATAAGTTTGACCACGGTACCATTTTAGAGAATTCTTTGCCTTTATTTCGTTATTCTTCATAAGATGATAGAAAGGACTTTCAGGCAATAGATATACCAGAGCAACCACAAGGCATGTCACGGCACAAATGAAGTTATACCTAATTAACCTATATATTATTAATGGTTACGTGAACTTCCTGGAGATTTAGTTCTAATTCGATTACATTTTACATTTGATATAATTCATTTTGATTGACATACGGACATACGATGACACAAAAGTTTTATGGTAAGAACATCTCTGTTTAACCACATTAATAATATTTCAAAAAAATATTTATGGAAGATATAATTTTTTAAAATAAGTGGGACGTATGTACCCCAGGCCGTTAAAGGGTTAAGACGATCTTAAATATAATAGCCGACTATGAATACTGGGCTAATTGTCAAATTGTCGAATTACTTTTATCACAGAAGATGGTCTAACGACAAACTGAAACGTTTGTAAATTTTTATTTTGATATAATATTTCAACACGCGAATATCCTGTTGTGATTCTGAGCCCTTTATTTATTACTTGATTTATTAATCGTTTGAGCCTCTTTATACTTACGTCATAATTAAATTAAAAAATTTCAAAGATATATTACATTCAATGTTACAAGTACCTCGATATAGCATCGTGTTCATTTAATACATGGGCGGCTACAAAAGCATACATAATTCCGCAGTTGATTAAAAGCTGGAAATACATAAGAAGTCGTCCTCGCGAATTCTGATCTGCGATTTCTGCGATGTAAATCGGCGTCAGAATGCAGAATGCTCCACCGCTCATACCACATATGAATCGACCAATTATGAGGAGCGAAATCTGTGCAAATGTTTAGTACATCGTATACGCCATTTTCATTGGTTAACGCATCAATATTTTCAAATTTTATCTTTAAAATATTACGTCAAATAAAATATTAAAACAATTCTGTAATAATTGACTTGAACTAATTTGACTATTCCCTGATATTAAATGATATTTAACAATGAGGAGGCGAGGTAATTAAACACTTTGCGCATTGAGACCGCTTTAGCGCATCGAGATAGCTAATTTACTCTTATAATTTGTTATATACGTAAACATTTTGGCGAAACTTGACATTACGGCATACTTTTTGGCCAGCGCAGCAAACAAACGTCCATCCGATGATAAATCCTGGCATAGTCAAGGACATGGCTGTGATACGACTGAAATACTTCATAAAAAAAGGCATAAACATCACGCCGACACAAGCACCGGCATTCAAAATACCACCGATAAGACCGATTTCAGTACCGCTAGCGTTCAAAATGTTTCGAAGAATTGCCCCGGCACTTGAATTCCATCCAAGTGTGACACCAAGAGCGAAACCGCCGAGAGATGCTAAATTTCCAAACAAAAAGAATCACTATTTTATCGCATATATTTAAGTAAATTATATTGAGCGATTTTGCAATTTGTAGATCCACATCCACATGTGTATATATATATAAGTCTATCCAAATATATTCAAAATGTATGAATATATTTGTGTGTGTAACTATATTATTTTTTCTTATATTATATATCGTAACAATATCCAATGATTATTCAGATTATATTTTTTCACGCCACACAAACGGTAGGTAGGTATAATCCGCTTATAGTAGGGCATCATGATGTAAACACACGTGATGTAGACAAAATAATTAGAATTTCATTAGATTTATACACACTTCGTGGAAATCATGACTGTACATACAATCCGAGTAAAATTATTAAAAAAGATATTTTTAATACCTAATGTATATTTTAGTAGAAAAATTTTAAACAAAACCGTATATACATATTAGTACTCCTTATTATATTGTAAATGTATTTAATTTAAGATCATATCCGCACGATTGTATTCCACGTCGTATAAGTACTATATAATGAACAGTGAAAACTTGTACATATCTCTCAAATATACTATGCAACCATAAGAATTAAGCTTTTGCTCAAGTTCATCAAATTGGGAGATATAATAAACTTTTGTATGAGGCACCGCATGTATGTGTAGGATATATGTATAAAACATATATATTCTATAAATACATGTATATTTTCAAAGTGTTAATAATTATATTTTAAATCTAAAGAAAACATTTACGTTGCTTACAATTAGTTAGAGTGATAGCGAATAAACGTTTTCCGAACTTACTTACGAAGGCAGCCATGTGCTGATTTAATCGATAGATCCTACCATCGTTGTTGACTTCGGGAGCTAATGTCGATGTCATTTTCATAATAGACGTGATAAATGACGTTGTCTAAGCGCTATCACCATTCTCCAACTGTCATCCACCGATACCGATTCAAATCGACTCGAGAGAATTCAGCTACATGACTGACCCTCTGCTCGAGTGCTCGATACAAATAACGTATCGACTCGACCACGCGTTTAATATCCGACCGGATGTTTTACCAAACTGCATTGTTTACCAACCTTGATTCGTGATTTATTCCAAATATCGTTGCGTTCTTTATGATGCAGTCTTCTCTTTAATACGAATGTTTCCAATTCTTTAAAGTAATAACTAGACATTGGATTTTTTATATGTAGATTGATGGAAAGAAGCAACTAATAACTTAAGATTATGTTATTTATAATCTGCATATAAAAAATCTGATTTTTAGTAATAACAAATTAGGTAATTTATTAGATAATTTATTAAATGCAATGCTACGTAAATAAAGATGCGTAGATTCAACACATTTTTATACATTAATAATTTTTATATTATAAAATAGTTTTACCATACGATAATATAAAATAGAGAGTGTTTGAAAGAATTAAATCTATAAAATCAATATGTTGGCACGCAATATTTAGCACGCCAGCTTATTAACAAATTCTGGAATTGTCTATCTTTGATTTATCTTACACGTAATGCGATAAATTTCATCGATCAATATGCAATATAGTAATTGATAACTGTAAATATCTTATAAATCTGTATAATAAATAAGAAAACTGATTTTTATACAAGTTTTATGGGAAACAATTGTAGATATTGTTATACTACATTATTCCAATTTTTGTTAAAACAGCATCGATAATGAATTATTTTAAAAACCGTTACTGCTTTTCCTTTGATAGAAGTTAAGAAGTTTATAAGATTGTCATCACACACAAAAGTAATTCTGTTATATACGAATATTATTTCGTCAAGTATTATACATGGTATAATAGTGTCAAGTTCTTTTTGCTCACAACCATACTTTATTTATATTTCATCGAGACATAGCATTGGGCGGCACCGCGATATCCTTCAGAAAGAACATTGATTTACCTTTCCCAAGTCGAAACGTTTATACGTAGGTAGGTATATTTTTCCCACAATAACGTGCGTGCCTTCAAAGTTGCGGCGAGTAGGGGCTACATACTGACAGAAGCTCAGTCGGGCATTACGAGAGACAGAAAGAGAGAGAGAGAGAGAGAGAGAGAGAGAGACGGAGAGAGATGGCTTCTTATCAAAACAATCAATATTGAACAAAGCAATATATATTAATCAAAAGTGACACATTACATATTACAAATTAAAATATTTTTAATATCTTACAGAATTCAAGAATTCTTTAATTAGATTATTTGTCTACAGCAACAATTTAATTTTGTTTAATAATACCACTTATTAATGGTGCGTATCTGTGATTTTAAATGATGATATTAAACGGACTTTAATAACACTGTCTTGTAATTTGTCAATAGCACAGGCCGACGGCAATTTTGATCCACACATCTCAATAGTCAAAGGATTTTGGCGTGCAGAAACCGAATCCATTGCTCGAATTGCTCTATCACGTCAGGTTTCAGAGATATATGTACCTAAAAATGCCATTTTCGGTTTTTTTAGGTTGAAATAACTGTAAAATAATACGTGTTAGGCCCATTTTCTCAATGGATTCGAATTCTGTATGAAAAAATCTATAGAAACCATATGTCATACCTTGAGAAATTGATTAAAAAAATACTATATCTACCTCCATGACGCTTTAACCCGCGCACGAGTTGCTGCCCCGCTACGGGTAGAAGCAAGAGGTACCTAGATATAGAATTTTTTATCAATTTTCAAGGTATGACATATAGTTTCTATATAGATTTTTTCCTACAAATATCTTCGAAACCTGACGTGATAGAGCAATTCGGGCAACGGATTTGGTTTCTGCACGCTAAAATTAGCCCAGTCAAAATAGCCCGAAAAAGCCGCTGAAATGGAATTAATTCCGGGAAGCGATTTTTTTTTTTTGATTGTTTCGGAGGGTCATGGGTAGTCTAAAACCGGATTTTCGGGATCCTAACCCTGGAGCGTTAGCCGCCATTTTGATTAGAAGGGTGATTTTGTAAATATCTCGCTTATTTTCAACTTTAGAGTGAAAGTGGTAATAACCAAACTTGTAGAAAATTTAATACTCTACAATTTTGGTTCTTATCATTTTTTACCTAGGATCGATATTTTGGGTCTTAGACTCGAAAGTGGGGGGTGAAATTTTATTATTTTTTTTTAATTCTTTGAATAAACGCGCCATAAACTCTACCTCCGTGGTGGTGTGGAAAAGATGTTTTTCATTATACCAAGTAAATTCAAAAAATAAAAAAAATTTTACCCCCCACTTTTGAGTCTAAGACCCAAAATATCGATCCTAGGTGAAAAATGAAAAGGACCAAAATTGTAGAGTATTAAATTTTCTACAAGTTTGGTTATTACATTTTCACTCTAAAGTTGAAAATAAGCGAGATATTTACAAAATCACCCTTCTAATCAAAATGGCGGCTAACGCTCAAGGGTTAGGATCCCGAAAATCCGGTTTTAGACTACCCATGACCCTCCGAAACAGTCAAAAAAAAAAAATCGCTTCCCGGAATTAATTCCATTTAAAAGTCTATTTTGACTGGGCTAAATCCTTCGGAAACGACTATTGAGATCTGAGAATTTAAAAAGTCGAAATTTGTCTCTCGCAATACGAAGTGAGCCAAGCGAGAGAACCAATCAACATCGCGAAAAAACGGCAACAATTCAATCTCTTACATGCCTTCTTTAAGAACGGAAATACGTATTTTAAGAAACTTTACTTTATTAAGGGGTTAGTCTACTCTAGATCGGGCAGAAACAGGCGAATTTTCAGAAATTAATTTCAGACAAACTATCGGTGATACATGAATGATTTTTTTTTCATTATCTTTTTATTAGGGTTTCAAGAACATGTACAAATTTTTTGATGTAAAAAAATTTCAAAATGGCGATGAGGCACTCCTTCGCGCGCAACTATGCTTTTCAGACGGTGTACATGGTTTCTGAAATGTGGGTGGTCTAAAAAAAAAAAAAAAATATGGTCATTAACTATATTGTATTGTCTTCGAAATGACGGAGCTTTTTTTCTCTCCTCGTTTTTGGCGTCAAGAAAAAAATTCCTGAATTTTTCAAATCATTCATGTATCACCGATATTTTGTCTGAAATTAATTCCTGAAAATTCGCCTGTTTCTGCCCGATCTAGAGTAGACTAGATAAAAACATGATATCGATGCATAAATGCTTAAAAGATAACAATGAAAAAAATGCGGAGTTAGGTTACAATGTGACGATAATATATAGATATGTATACATATATGTATGTACGTGTACCAATATAAGTTTGAATGTGCTTTTATTATTTTCCATTATTGTCTGAAACAATAATATGAATATGAATATATAAAGATGTGCAGGTTTTGGTATTCATACTTTGGATTTTGACAAAGGCACGATTTAATATAAATAAACATGTAATGCAAATAATGAGATATGTGTGCAGGCGCTGTGCACGATATGAACGATGTGCAGTTGATCGTGAGTGGACGTTACCTATTCATTGTTTGCACATCAACGACGTTTCTCATTTCTCGGCCAGAATGTCGATACTCGGCCGACTATCGAATGTCGATGAAACAGCTCTTACGTGAATGTTCAAAAGAGGTGAAAAACAGCCAATACATTAGGTACGCCATAACGATTTAGTAGTGTATGTCAAGTTGTCTTATGTACATACATAAAATATCGATTAAAAACTTGTGTCCTTATTAAATTGTTGTCTCTAATAAGAGAAAAATTGAACCTACATATATTCTTTCATAATGTAACTTTAAATTTATAACGTACATATCTTATACATATATCTTTCTTTTCTTATCACCTTCTTAAAAATCATACTTAAGAATTCGTTTTTGAAAGTCTACAAAGTATTAAAAAATGTAAGGAATATCTTGGTCACATCAAGTACAGTAGTATGGTGTATCCAAATATGATCTGTTGTACGTTTACTAGTATGCGAAATTATCTCGGAAAATTTTGTCTCAATCTCTAACTTGTACACTTCTATTACCTTAAATATGAAAGTTTGCTGACATTAAACGGAAAAGTTATAGCAATAGCTGTGACTCAAAAGAGAAGATGAATTGTTCTTGGGTTTTTGTTGCAGGATTAATGGGAAGACTCAAATCGTGCACACCGTCAACTGGGGATCATCGCGCGTCGAGGGAGGGTGGAAAGCGTATATTTTTGGGAGGAAATGATTTTTAATTTTTTTGTGAATAGATAAGAGATAAATAAATCCACATGCCAAATTTCGCATTGATTCGTTGTATAGTTTCTTCACCAGAAAATTAGAAAATAACGATAAGCGGAAAAAAAGAGGAATCCCCCCTTAAAATGGCTCGCTAACGACAAGGTTATTAATAAAAAAAGCAGTATGATTTGTAAGTGTGCGAACGTCGGTTATTTGCTTGTGACATGCGAGACTGGAACATTTTTGCCGGTAGTTGATTCCGCGGCTAGGTGTCATCTAATATTAACGCGTGCACAGCTGCCGCAATCACGTTGCAGAAGAAATTCTTCCCACGCTACGTCGTTGGGTGAAATAGATCGCAATTTCGACTTCCATCCAATAAGTTCCGGTACCTTCGCTAGCAGTACACAGCTCTTAGAAAAAGTGCCTTCTTTTTTCGATCTCTATTCTTCGTGTCGGGTCGTATATATACATATATAATATATATGTACATATATTCTTAGTAGGTGTGCATCGCTTCGTGTATGCGCAAGATATTGATTGGAATTGGTCGTTGCCCTCGAATATCTAGTCGCTTTAGTCAAACCACGATTAGATACTGTGGATTATACTAATTATGAACGTAATTAATCATGTACTTTTACCCGTGATATCTTGTTGAAAGTAAAAGCATCACCGTGATGTTTGTATTCCATATTACAATAACGTAATATCAATTGATATTACGTTATTATAATGTAAAACGTTAAATAAAAGGCTTCTAAATTTAAATGATGCATGTGTAACCACTAATTTTTCTGCGCGTTTCGAAATGCATTACAATGTGTGCATCTTCAAGCATTCCACTAATTGAAAAAACTGCTTTTTTATGCACATTACAACGCATTAAAAAATTTTAATTCCTGTGTAGACACGTATTTTTTAGACAACTTGCTAAATCTCTCATAATAATTAAATAAAAAAGATGCCATAAATAATAATAATATTAATTCTTGGATAAACAATTAATGGCAACATATAAATTAATTGTAAACACAGTTTGTCCTCGCGCACTTTTATGACACCTAAACTTATATATACTTATGTTCTTATATTGATGTATTGGTTAAAACTGTGTGAGATGCATTGAATACAATGCGCGCGCATTAGGTGAAAACGCTATTGTATGCTAACACGCGCGTTGAACGCATACTCATTCAAAGTGAGAGAGAGAGAGAGAGAGAGAGAGAGAGAGAGAGAGAGAGAGAAAGGGAGATGCTCGATTCGCATTAATTAAAAAAAATCGGTCTTGCTTGAATTAGAAGCCAGCATTTTCAACTTTAATAAGTAACTTGCTTCTGCTAATCGCATGATAATGTGTGTAAGTAAACATTATTTTATTTAGTTGTTTTACACTTAGGCTTTTTATTTTTGCGCACATCACGCTTTACATCTTTGTCTCACATAATTATACATTCTCAAAGGCTCTCGACTTATATTATAAATAGAAACATCGACGTATCATCTATCAAATATGTAAATGTATTGTAGGATAGTAAACTCTGTCGTTCTCTGTAATATTAAATACCAGAAGACAAAAGAGCCGTTAAAAAAAAGCTATATTTGAGAGAAAAAGAGAGTATTTAATTAAATAATATTAAAAATATAACATATGTGTATGCGTATGCGTTTCGATACACGCAAGTCAAGTCGTCCGCATTAATATTTCGATCAAATCGTATAGAGGCTCGATTATGAATACGACGTAGAAGAAGCTGTCTTGGGGCAGCTTTAAAGTCATCGCTCCGAAAAGCGTGAATCCCCCTCTAAAGATTGCAAGCACGAGTCTTTGAAAATTTCGCTGGTAGTATACTAGTATGGGTCGTGGCTCAAGCTTTCCCTCGACGCTATACATCTACACCCCTCTATCCTCGTCCCTTTTGCCTGGCGTTTGTCTCCCTCTTTCTCCCACTCACGAGCCCGAGGTACGCTCGCTCATTCAAGCTCGACCCCAGCAGCAGTCGAGTCGACAACGATTCAGTCGCGGTCGACCCGCCACGCTGCGAGCTTTGCTGAGTACGCGTGTGCTCCGAGGTGCTCCGAGGTGCCTCTTTCTCTCCTTCGTTCGTCTCTGCTTCTCCTCTCTTTTTCCTTTTTTTTTATCTCTACTCGACCATCTCTCCTTAGCTCTTCCTATATCGCACGTCTTATTGCACGTTCTCTCCTTTATTCTCTCTCTCTCTCTCTCTCTCTCTCTCTCTCTCTCTCTCTCTCTCTCTCTTTCTTTCTCTCTTTCTCCTTCATCTCTCTTTTCTTCCCTGGGTCGCTTGTCTCATTGCGCGATCGAGCCATCGTTCTTTAACAAAGATAATATACGGTTTTCTTAGAGAAAGGCGACGAGATTTCTACTCGACTCGCCGGGTGAGGGAAAGCGAATTTGCGAATTAGGATTATCAGGGTGGGTTTAACATATCTCTATGGAGAAAGAGAGAGAGAAAAAGAGAAGGAGCGGTGAGGGCGGGAGAGAGAGATAATCGCAAAATCGACTTAGAGGTTCGAAGCTCCAGGTTCGGAGCTTGCGCCGATTCGTCGGGGCAGCTTGGACTAACGTAGCGGATCTTTCCAATTTTCTCACATTGCGAATGCGACTGATGCGAGCTCGTTCAGAAACACGGCGAGAGCGTAATGAATCGCTTTTACGCGCGAGCAAACGAGTGTCGAGTGAAGGAATGTGTTACGGACTCATTCAAAGAGGAATTGTGACCATGAAGTAAGGACGTTAGAATGTACGATCGACGACCGCCTTCACCCTCGCCCTCGTGTCGAGCTTAAACTCGAACGCGGAAACGAGCTCTCTCTCTCTCTCTCTCTCTCTCCCGAACACGTCGATTTCCGTTTAAGCCTGATTCAAAACGTTTGAGATATCTACAAGGATGTAACGAGTGTTTCTCGTCGTCGTCGAGGAATATCGAGGTTCTCCGCGAGGAAAAGGAGACGAGAAGATTGAGGAGCGTGAAGCGATCGAGGAGAGCGTGAGACAGCCTCAAAGATCGACGTATCCAGAGATGTTTCTCGAGGGTTGTGCGGTCCAGGACTGGACGACTCACTCGCGTAAAAGGAAGTATGTTCTGTCGATATGCGACTCGGTGAGCAACGCACCACGATAATGGAGTGATTCAGTAGTCGTGATAACGCCTACGATGCACGTGCGCGAATGCCGACAAGTACGAGGAAGTCCTGTGAGAACGTCAGGTGCTCGGCACTTTTGACAGAAGCAATTCTATAGGAAATTCCGAAGGATCGCAAGTGAAGACCCGCAAAATTTATGTGAGTTTTCTATGACGTTATATGTATATGACAACGTTATTTCGTGATTGCGACAAAACTCGATATCTCACGTGCTACGCACGTTCTTCTCCATTCCAGGTAAAGAAATTCTACGTATCGAAAAAATCATGCCGTTTACACATCTGAATTATTAAATTTGATTATTCGTCTCAATTCTGACATATGAGATATATGAGATGTAACGATAAAATTATACTTGTATTATCTATTATTGTTCAATATTTACGTTTTATAATTGTTCCTTGCATTATAAACTGCAAAATAATGTAACATTAAAAAGTAAACAATATATGTTTCTTGCAAACATCGTTACGGTGCAGCAAAGCTGCAATGAGAGTTAAATGATACGAATCTTATAGCTCGACAATCTTGACACTATTCTGAAATCAGTTAACGCAAACAGGTTTTCGTTACTAATAAAAACTTGGAAACTTTAGAAATTGATGAACAAGACAATATATCATAAACTTAAAAATTATACATTTATATATATTAGTAATGTGAATATGTCAAATTATGACACAAATATTATGTCCATAATTTAACACAAAATAAAGAACAGTTTGATGATATGTGAACGAAAATTTTATGTACAACAAACATCTGTGTAATGTTAAATATAAATTAAAAACATGTTAATTTAACATTTTTGTATGTACAATAGACATCTGTATAACGTTAAATATATAAATAAAAAGGATATTTTTTAAACAAAATTATATTATTTTTATGTTAATCTTATGATTAAATATAAAATGTGTTATTTTAACATTTGATTTACTTAAATATAAATTTAACACAAATAAATCAGATAACATAATCAAAATTAGTTAAATTAACACATAAGTATGTAATATTTTTAACACAAAAATTTTAACAAGTATCTTTTTTAACAAAAATACACAAAATTTTTTACTGTGTACATTAATTAATCAAAATTACACAGAAATATTTAAAACAATAAAACTGTATAATTGACACGTAACTATAATATTATATCTCGCTAATAATAAATTTGCTCCAAAGATATACAAGTGGCACGCATTACAAGACTATTAACAGATTTTTATGTACATTTGTACGTTGGTTCACTGTCGTGTCGACAAACAGATTTTGTTTACTAGCTTAGCGAGGTCGCATATACACGTACGCGAAGCGAGAAAATTATATTTAGCAAATGAGATCCTATCGTGTCGCACGGTATTGCTTTGCGTGACATGAGAAATAAGTATTTGCGGCTATTTGTCCGCGTGCGCCTGCGCTACATTTCGTTTGCGATTTTTGATACAAAATATTCCTAACGTGCATTATAAATGTTATGTCTATGTATATAGCAAAATTACTTGAGTCGATCAAATTTTTACGTTTATTGAAACGAGAGAAGAGATGTAAAAATAAGCATAATAGCAGAATTTCATACAAATAACGAAAAAGTGTAACTTTTATTACAATATTAAATGTTTGTATAAGATTCTTTATGTATCATATTAAGAAAAATTTAACGCTAATCTCTTTCTTTTTCACACACACACACACACACACACACACACACACACACACACACATTATAATATGGATCAAGTATATTTACAAGTGCAGTTTCGAAACAGCAAGCACCTGTCGCGTATCAGTTACAGCAGCAATGTTATATATTCTATCCCTGTTTGTGCTCCAAGAAATTCTTGGTCGAAATAATAGTACTTTGCGCCTCCACATTCCGTCAAATATTTATTATGCACCTCATTAAACAGTTTCAGTAAACTTGATCGATGAACCAGTTTACATTTTGGAAAAGTGCGTATAATAAGCTAGTATAAAGTATTAGCATAAAATCATATTCTATTTGTTTCCATTTACATAACCTATAAATGGATATAAATTCAAGTTTTTGTTACATGTATTTGATATAAATTGCATTAAAATGTTAATTTTTGCATCAGAAATGCATTATAAAATTAATATTAGTATGTAATTATTTGTATGTGTATATAAGTTAAAAATATGTTCCAAATATCACATATTTTTCAATATTACACAATTTGACATTATTATTTATCTACATTTAAAAATTTTTTTTGTCAAATTACATTTACAATGCATTAAATGTGTAACAGTTCTGTGCTGTATAAATGTACATCACGCGCGCTCGCACACACACACACACACACACGAAAATTCATAAATTCTCCCTACTACCTACTACCTACATTGAAGCTTACGGGGAATTTAATTACCAACGAGTGTAATGGGGTACAAAGCGGAATATTGCGCTTGAGAGGAATGCTTTAGTATACTAAACGCAGTTATTAGTCACTGCAAGATATAGTACACAACGAGACGCACATAGATTCGATTTTAACATATCTTATTGCCCATCATGCGTGGCTACATCGTATAATATATTTGTAATAATGAAAATTTATATTCTTTTGATAATTACACCATTAAAATTTACTCCTATTACTCCAATTACTTTTGTTACTTATTATAGTATAACCACACCATGTAACATTCTTTTTCTTGATGTTGCATATATTGAGAGATGTCATACAGATAAGTTGTATACAAAAATACGTAATTGCAATCAAGGTAATAAAAATAGTTTAGAAGTTTAGAACATGAGAATAATCAGAAAAATCGTTCGAAAATCATCATTTTCCAAGAATATTTATGACTATTGTAAATCAGGTACACATGTGCTTTTTCTCGCAAGGGTATCGTAATTCATTGCGTGACACATGAAAAACTTATTCGCGTATCAGCTTTTCATTCCGTTCCCTTTCCGCGATGTAACTACTCTTTCTCGTTGATTTTCTCGTTGGAGTCCAGGTTGGACTCTGGAGGAAAGAGTAGCTCTCTTGCGGCTCATCGTTTTCTACGATATGAAATTCAATTCCATCCGATTCCACGAGACTTTTGATAGCGTTATTACAGTCACCTTCGTGCCGCGTATAAGTCAGGGATTACGGACGACGAGCTTTGACAAGGTTAAAAGTTGAGATTGAGAAAATACACAGAATGCTTCCAAATGACATGACGACGTAATCATTTAGAAAATTTTAAAATAGCTACTTATATATATGTAACATTAAAAACAAAATCTGATCGCTGAATTATTTTATATCGAAAGCAGAGTAACAAAAATTTTCGTTGTTGAAAATTTCAAAATTGAGAAGAAGTGAAATAATTATCTGAAAATGGATATCTAAGAAATATAACATTTTACTATATATTTTTTTAGATGTATAACAAGATTTATTTTAGATAACTCGCAAAATTTTATTATTACCTATTTAATTTTTTCTTGGTTATTAAGAAGTCATTCTACTTTGACGACTAGCTATATTTAACAACTTTTTCACAATAAATACACCATATAATGAAATTAATCTTTTGGGGATTTATTAGGGCACTCTTAAATAACAACAAAAAATTTTTTATTTTATCGTTTTTTACAGCGTTAAAATGGCGTGTCAAAAAAGATGCAATTAAGTCCGCTGCGGTGATCAGTTTTTTCATTCAGGCTTACCTGAAACAAAAAGTCAAAAACATTCTTAATCTATATGAGTGTCGCTATGTCCCGAACTAAAATTAGGTCAAAATGTTTATTTTATCTTACTTTTTACATTAAAAAATACTCTCCAAAAAGGTGATTTAAGGATTTAAAGTGATTTTTTTAAACTTTTCTTCAAACCGGCGCCATTTTGTTACTTTTAAATAAAAATTATTAATTTTAGTTCGGGACATAGCGACACTCATACAGATTAAGAATCTTTTTGACTTTTTGTTTCAGGTAAGCCTGAATGAAAAAACTGATCACCGCAGCGGACTTGCATCTTTTTTGACACGCCATTTTGACGTTGTAAAAACAATAAAATAAAAATTTTTTTAATTATAACAAAAATTTTTTGGTGTTATTTAAGAGTGCCCTAATAAATCTCAAAAAGATTTATTTCATTATATGGTGTATTTACTGTAAAAAAAATTGTTAAAAAAAGCCTAGTTTTTGGGCTGTCAAAGTAGAATGACCCTTTAAGATATACATTTCAAAAGAAAGGTATTTATCTTTTGCGCAATTTATTTTATCTAACATGCAAGCGCGCGCGCGCGCGCGCGCACGCACACACACACACACACACACACACACACACAGAGAGAGAGAGAGAGAAAGAAGCGATTAAGTTGGAAAAAATACCCAATATATAATAAAAAGAGTAATGCTTATTAATGATGACCCATGTGCAATTTTTGCGTGTTAAAACTATTTCTTCAGAATAGTCGTTTTAGCGATAATTAAAAGATGGTTAAAAAAGTATGTCACCGCACAACATATTACACGTATTTTTTTTTCTTCTAAAAGAGAAGTTTTCTTTATGTACGGTATATTTCATTGCGACAACGTCACAACAAGTAACATTTATTTTATGGTCATATTATTACGTTTAAGATTATTACGTTTTAATTAAGATTATTACGTTTTAAGATTATTACGTTTTAATTAAAATTTATAGCTTATATTTTTGATAACTCATTGAGTCCCTTTTTGCATGTGGGGAGGGGGTTCAATAAACATATAAAAAATCCGAAATAAAAAAAACGTAATTAATCAGCAGGATGGTTTATCGAACTCTGCGTAGTATATATCCAAATTTATATTTTTCTCTTTTTCTATATATATATATTGTGTGTGTGTGTGTGTGTGTGTGTGTGTGTGTGTGTGTGTGTGTGTGTGTGTGTCGCATCTATCCATATCTGTCTCGCTGCACAGACATCTCTTTCCGTTTTTAAAGATACTAGTAAAAATATTCTCGCTGCAAAATTTTTTCTTTTTTCGTTTCTTTGAAATAAAATTTTTTAAAATACTTTTTACATCAAATAATGGAAAAATTGTTTGCTTTTAATGATAGATTTAAAACTACAAGAGCTTTAAATAAAAAAATATTGAGAGAATAAACTTGAAAAGCAAACTTGCAAAACAA